TTCCTGTAGCTAAAATATACTATATATAGATGTTAATTTACTGAAATAAAGTATGTGTAACAGTTACATTCTTCTTTGGCTATTAACCATTGGATGCAAAACGATTCTGAAAGGAATAACCTCACAATGTGCTAAAAGAGATAGTTGCTTGTGCATTTGAATATTAAAACTAAAATGAACCGAGCGTTTCGTAACGTTTACTTTTTAAATAAACATGAGACACTTCATTATAATTTTCATTAAGGTGGAATCCGAGTTATGTTTTAAGTTAGGGCCAAAGCATGTTTTTCTCTGTTCAAGAACTACACATTGTTTCAGATAGTTTTGATTCCAGTTTAGCCAAAAGACTACTCTAGTTGGGCTTTTATCCCACAATATATCAATATTCGTAAAAAGAGAAGATCCTTTCATTAATGATCTTAAAATTCATTATATTATGTATTCGTCACGGAAACACTGCTTTTAATTAAGAGATTAGTTATTATTAAAACCGAGACTATGCCGGTTTTTAGAAAATGCGCCCTCGGATCTGAATAAAATTCTGGCCACAGCGAGTGTGTTGGAAAAATCTGGTGATGGAATTATATATGGAATTATATATTACTCTCCCACCAAAATAATTCTCCGTGTGTGACACATTCGTTTTGTTTCAGATAGTCTGCTTTGCTGAGGTAGATCTTCGTCTTCAAAATAAGTGAAAGAAATAAGCACGCGTATGAAGTCATTTTGTGGCTAAGAACCAATAAGCAATTATTTAAAAGTGCCATATACGACTTACTCTTCGTCTCAGTACGCATTTTTGTTGAATGTTTGTACCTTGACTAATAACGTCATATTTCATTTAGTTAAATACTGAAAACCAATACGTATGTGACCGTCCGACATCTTTGTTTGTTCCAGAAGAAGTAAATGCCATGTTCTAATTTCAAAATAGCGACGATATGGAACTGTTTCTTGAAGAATTACACACACAAAAAGGATTAGCTGTACATTGCTGTGAAATACCAAAAAAGTCTGTTGAACACTATCTTGTGGAAGCATGGTCAATGTAGATGTTGTATCTCGAAAGTCATTTGTATAACAGTTACAGAAAATAGAAACAATAATAATACCTTTCATATGAGATGACTTACGAGGTACGCTCTTCTACTGTAACACTTCTTTTTCAATCGTTCATACGTCGATCGATAGATGGTATCGGGATAGTAAAAGCCTAAAAGGGTTCGTGCCAATGACTTCTTGAAGACCCGGTTTTCTGGAAAACTAGATTTTCAGAAACTCTGAAAAATAATCACAAGCTTTCCTTAGGGAAATATAATCGTAGTCTGCAAATTTCTGATTAAAATGAGACATCTCCCAGCTCTACATGACCTTCCTTTGCAAAGTTATAGAATTTACAAGAAAAGTCCTAAATTCATTTCTTCTGATTTCTGCAGGGCTGGGCAACTCCGCTGACTTTCAGCTCCGACTCCACTTCAACTTAACTCCATTTTCAAATTTCCAACTCCAACTTCAACTCTCTCAACAAAAATCTCAACTCCAGTTCAACTCCGGTTGCTTCACTTTTGTAAGGAAGATTTTTCGGTTTTTAGCAGGACTTTGGACAGCTTTTTTCGGCAGGAAAGCGCAAATAACTTCCGAATCCACCTGTGAAAATACTCACTCAATCGTTTAGAAGATCATTTTACAACTATTGAATATTTCTAAAAATGCAAAACAGAGTTGAGAATAAAAATGCAAAATCTCAACTCCAACTCCACCAAAAAAATCCTCAACTTCGGAGTTGGAGTTGCCCAGCCCTGAATTTCTGTAGCTTTGAGCTGAAAATGAACATTTAGGCCTTCTCTTGTAAATTCTATAACTTTGCAAAGAAAGGTCGTGTAGAGCTGGGAGATGTCTCATTTTAATCAGAAATTTGCGGACTACAATCATGTCTCACTAAGGAAAGCTTGTGATTATTTATCAGAGTTTCTGAAAAGCTAGTTTTCCAGAAAACCGGGTCTTCAAGAAGTCATTGGCATGAACCCTTTTAGGCTTTTTACTATCCCGATACTCTCTATCGATCGACGTATGAACAATTGAAAAAGGAATGTTACAGTAAAATAGTGTTCCTCGTTAGTGGTGTCTATTGGTGTTTCAACGTTTGTTTTTTGATACTTTAGAGTCGGCTGTGATTTGCAGCAATTACTCAAAGAAGCTGTCGGTTCAGATCCCATTCTACGGATGTTATGTTTTAAAGTGATTCAAGTTAGTAAGCGACAATGTCATTTATACGGCTTTTGTATTCCCTATGTATTAGATAATTGTCTTTCTTTTCAGGAGTGCGCAATAGCGTAAGGTAGTTTTGTTTTTCTAATAAAAGAAACTTGTCTTAGATTCGATTTTCATGTGTGTGTCAATAACGAACATCACGTATGATGATCTGATGAATTAATAAATAAAACATTATCGCATGGCGATGAAGATACTGTGCATGAATCAAGCGGTAACAGTTCTGTTGTATATCCTTGAATTTAGAAAAAGTGTTTTAACGTAAGGATAAATTCATAATCATCTTTAAATTCAAATCTTTTATTTATGTCAGTTACTGCATGCAATTGTTTTTGAATTAAATCAAGAAGTAGAATATTCCAATATAGGTAAAATAATAGTATAGATATTTTCTAAAACTCGAAAAATTATAGGAATACTATATAAGAGATTACAAAACATTTTTCGTTTTTGCTTTTGTATTTGATTAAAACGACTTTTTTTAATGATGTTCAGGATATGTAATGCACAGTATTGAGTTCAACTATTCATTAAGATGCATTTTTTCTTTTAAATTAATTTCAAATAGTGATTATTTATTTGTAGTCGATTTAATTAAGTTCGGATCAATATGACAATATGATGAAACGTGCATGTCTCCACTATTTTATTAAAGATTGGTTGAATAGGTATAAGATTTATGCAGAAACTTGAGCTATACAGGGAAGTAAATTTATTCCAAAAAGACATATCGTCAGGTGAAGCAAGTTCAAAGAAAAGTGAAAATAGAAAAATACATATCAACTTTAATCACTACCACAAAATGTTAATTGCTTTCGTTCATTATTTGTAGCACTTTTACAATTTGAACCGTGTTTCACTGGTTCATGACGAAATGGTCCTGGTTGAGAACAAAAACCTACTGGCATACCATAATTTTGATATTCATCCCTTGTCCATATACAACAATTATCAGATATTGTTGTTTTATAATCTTTATCAATAAATTCTCTGGCAATTTTAGATAGTATTATTTCTGATGCACGACTGTAACCGACTAAACAATTGCCACCAGAACCATCCAAATAATAACAATGATTTTTATATAAAACTTCATTAACTGGACAACTATTGATTGCTGGCATTGTGGTCGTTGTCATAGTTGTAGCAGCCGTAAATATTGAATCACTGTCAAAGTTAATTTTCCATGATTTTGATTAGAATTGTTTACAGGGTCGGAAAAAATGTTTTTCCAAGGGGGTACCGCTCAAACTACAAATGATATCACAGAGTATTGTATATCAAATTAATGCCCATTAAAAATGAGATTTATGAGTATACTCGATAGTCCATACAATGATTACTGGCTCTTGAAATATGAAAATCTCTTGAATCCTATGGTTAAACGCGCTCGTGTTTTACGATTTTCATTCTTCTGGTACATATTTTTTCAAAAATAATAGCAGATTCGCGATCTCCATCAAAAACTGAATCTGTAGACATGTTATTTGTATATTTTTGACGAAAAACATTTTTTCGAAAAAATCCTGAGGAGTACCCCAGACAAACATTACATTTACATTAATTTGAAGTATATATGTACAGGACGCTATTTCTCCTTGAAGAACAAAATAAGGAAAGACAGAATTTTATATCTTTATTGACATGTTGATTGATTCTATGTTCAAAAGAAGCAGTGCTGACTGTGAATTTATTCTATATTCTGGCACTTCGCGAATTAAAATTAAGACAATTAAAACCCTGGCCCTTTTCCACTTTTTATACTAATCTGAAGTACACAAGTTGTAGTATATTGTACTAGCTGTATTTTCCAGAAAAAAGTCCCTTTTAGCTTTTAAGGTACAGAACTGTCAATATCACAAGTTAAAGTTAGTAAAATCTATGGACTTCACTTTAATTTTTAAAAATTGCACGAACTGTGGAATGACCAGCATAACTTTCCTGACCAGTTTTCGAAACATCATTGTCAGAGAAGCCCAAGTTCGACATTTATCTTTTCCAGTGAAATCAGTAAAATTAAGCTGAAACGCATATACAGGGTGCCACTAAATAAACGGAACACCTACATCTATCTTGTTTTAAACACTTTTTCTCTACAAATTTTTATTCAAAACCTAGCAAAACAACAGAAACAACAATAAATAAAAAGATTTATTC